ATTCCACAAATATTTTATATCCGTCCGTAATATGCGATTTTCTTGTAGTGAATTGTTTCTCTCGTAAAACAAATCTTTATTCAGAACAATCTACAATTTGTATGTAAAATTAGATTACCACAACCACTCGCATAAGACAGAGTAGCAGTTAATGGGGAAAATTTAATTATCATGTGAGACAGGAAAATCTACATTTGAATAGGAATTATGAACGTCAGTTTCGTGTTGTGAGTTGATGAATATGAATTAATGGACCTCATACTTATGGTAACTATAGAAGCGGTTGAATGTAACTTTAATAGGAAATTCTTATAGATTTGTACAAACTATATGGATAATTATTTATACTAGCCAACTAAAAAAGAGTTCATAGGCTCTTGTTTTGGAAATTCAAGAACCTTAGGTGTCTCTAGTTTTTTGTTCTGCTTCCATTATAAACCTTGTATATATAACTCAGTTAAACCCAAACAATTTTCATGCACATTTCTACCACAACCTATTGTTCCATTCCAAATCCTAAACTATCGATTTGGCATTGTCAAGTACGGTTCCAATGCAGAGAAAATGATATTTAATTACTTGGATCTAATAAAATTAAGTAAGTATATTTTCCATTGATACAAAATCCATTCAATAGTCTCTTAGGCCTTTACAGAAATTAACATGCAAATGCTCAAAAGGTTTTGAACACTATTCCAATATCCACACCTACAACTCACAATTTCTAGAAAGCCCCTTTTTCTTTGACCTATTACCTCTAGTTTCAATCATTTAAATCCTAAACTTCAAATAAAGAAAAATCAAAGCTAAATATAAACAAATTGAAAATTGGAAATTGTCTTACTTGATGCTTTAGGATGTGTTCCCTATATATGTCTCTAATTGATAATATTCAGCATTGTCACTGTCTCGCAAACACCAACAAAACCTTTTCAAACACTTGCCACATTTAATCACTCCATATTTATCATCACCATAGACATATTTTCAATAATGAAATCAAATTTTAAACCAAAAATAAAAACTCGCCCGTGAAATTTAAAATTACTAATAGGTGCGAAAATGGAAGGAGATACAATAGAGAAAATAGAGGAAGAAGAACTTAAACAAAGGAAAGAAAACTAGAACTCGAAACAAAGGCAATGTGTGTTAACAATAACAAAAAGCGAATTGTGCAGTGTGGAAGAAGATTATCATACCACGGGAAGGGAAAGAAGAAAAAAGCACAATGTAATGGAGAACTAGAACTCAAACACAGGTAATGGGGGTCGACAACAATGAAGATAAAATTGTGTAGTGTGTAGGAGGATGAAGAGACTATGGAAAGACAAAGAAGAAGACAACACAACGCGTGGGGATCAATCCTAGATGTGAAACCCTAAAAACTTACTATGTCGGTTATGAAAAAAACAGACATAGTAAGTTACTTATTATGTCGATTCAATGTATAACTGACATAATAAGTTTTATATCTAATATTACAAAAATGTCACCGAAGAACTTACTATGTATGTTCTCACTATACCCAACATAGTAAGTGACTTACTATGTCGGTTCATTGTATAATTGACATAATAAATTTTATGTCTAATATTACAAAAATGCCATCGAGGAACTTACTATGTCTGTTCTTATTATACCGACATAGTAAGTGACTTACTATATCGGTTCATAGTATAATCGACATAGTAAGTTTTATGCCTAATATTACAAAAATATCACCAAGGAACTTACTATGTTTGTTCTTATAATATCCGACTTAGTAAGTGACTTACTACATTGGTTCTTCTTACAAACGACATAATAAGTATTTTTAATATTACAAAAATGTCACTGTTTCATTTATTATGACGATTTTCTTACAACTGTCATAATAAGTAGCCGTTAAATGTATTTTTTTTCACTAGTGGTTTCACTAGTGCAAAAATGGGCTTTTACGTCAGGTATTTAGGGATTTTTACGTCGTATTTAAGACTGACGTTAAAACAGGAGACGTAAATTTACGTCGGACCCTTTAGCCCGACGTAAATGTACGTCAGTTATCAAGACCCGACGTAATTTTGCGTTGCATATACCACTAAACAGATGTAAAAACTTTCGGAAATTAAAAAAAAAAAATAGCAAATTTACGTCGCATATTGGTATACGCGACGTAAATTTGCTATTTTTTTTTAAAATTGGGTTGATTATGTTTTACAACTAAAACCTGCAAATATATATTACAATCAAACAGATCCGGAGGTTCAATTTTACGTAGCTAGTAAATTAAAAATATAATATTATATAATTCAAACTACATAATAAAAGAATATAATACAAACATACAAACTAAAAAATTTATTACAAACTAAAAGTTTATACAAACTAAGCTACCTAAACTACATAATACACACAATATAATATGAACAAGAACTTAAAAATTGATGTACTAGAATTGTTGAACAAAAAATTTTGCCCATTGTTCCCGAATTTGGGTAATATCATATTCGGTAATGGAGATGGATCTTGAAATACCTGAAACATTAATTTGACTCTTGTAAACATGCAACATGAATAAAGTTAAATAAACTTAACTAATGTTAAAAATAATTACCTCCATCCAAGAATCAATTATACTCGCACAAACAATGGCTCTCATCCAATACATAACATAGTAACCACATTCAAACGAGTCTGTTTGCTTATTACACTGAAATGATGCAAAAAAACATAATGTTATTTTCAAAATTTAAATACAAACATGTATTCACTTATATAAATAAGTTTCTAACCTTAGGATAAATGAATTGCAAAGTCTTTGTTCTAGGTTTTCCACTTAGAACATTAGTTCCGGACACGATTCTAAGTGAAAAAAAGTCATATATTATTCAATATGTATTTACAATTTAAAAACATAATTAATGAATAAAAGATAAAGTTACCGTTGTAATAAGTTTTTCATTTCTTGACTCGGTTTCCGATGTAATGAACAAAATCACACCACGGTGTAATCCCGTGGTATGATTATAATTAACTGCCAATGGGACCTACATTGTATGACATAAAAATTAGTTACAAAAATATAAATTAAAATACTAACCCTTCAATGTCTGGAGCCAAATATATATGTCTTTTTGAGTCACTCATCCATGTTTGCATATATTGTTGGATTCCAACCTTTGCATTTCCAGATTTTTGGATGGATTGAGGCTCAATAAATCCGTATACTTCGGATTTTTCTTGTTTCACACTCAATTTGTCAATGTACCTATGTACAATTGTTGCGCAAAATCAGATTTCAAAGAATCATATAGACGTGCTTTCATAAAATTTTCTTCACCAATATCACGTATCATATCCTCTAGATTATCATCCATCCCTTCATCAAAATTGTCTGTAGTTGACACAGTTGGGATGTCTAATATTTCTCCATGCCATGTCCATATTGTATAACTCTTAATAATAGCATAAACAAACAAGTGATCACGTATATCCTAAGTTTATGACGAATTTGATTCAAACAACGAACACATGGACAATAATATGTCCCTTTCATAGCTTTTCCATTTTCACTAGCAAATTTCAAACATTCCTCAACTCCATTTTCGTACTCTTCACTAATACGACGTGCATTCATCCAACTTCAATTCATATTATGTTATAAAGTTTCGTCACTCCTAGAGATTTAAAAATTATATGTAAAAAGAAATTAATATACAAACAACAAAGCACGTAAATGGAGTGTGTAAACCGAAAATGCACTCAAACAAATAATTACATTCCAATAACAATCCAGTGGAGACATTCATACAATAACGTGATTGAGATCCCCAAAAACAATCACGGATTCAATTTAAACATATAGCAATGACATAGAACACTAACCTCGAGTGTAGACGAAAAATGATTTCAAACTCGAATCCAATCGGGGAGAAATATCAAGTTCGTAAAATGACATACAATGGTGATGTTTTTCACTGTCAAACTGATCGAAAATGGTGTGCAGAGGTAGCTGTTGTCGTCGTTCTCGTCGTCGTTCTCAAAAACCCTTGCTGCGCGAGACCAGGGAGTGGGGTGGGAGGGAAATAAAAGAGACTTTTTACATCGCACACCCCAGCATGCGATGTAAAAAGCCTCTTTTACGTCGCAGCTACGTCGCGCGACGTAAAAAGCCTCTTTTACATCGCGCCACGTAGCTGCGACGTAAAAGAGGCTTTTTACGTCACATGCTGGGGTGCGCGACGTAAAAGTTTTGTCTCTTATTTACAAAATTGCCACCGCATTTTATTTACGTCGAATATTTTTACATGCGACGACAATTGGGTGACGTAAAAACCCTTTTTTTCACTAGTGTTTCAATAGTTAAATAATTTAATTTTAAAACAATACAATCATCTTATGTAAAATTAACAATTCTTAAAGTTTGATCCATGTATTCTAAAACATTGATATTACAAAAAATATTATATTTACAAATTTATTAGATTAGAATTTTAATTAGAAGTAATTAAAATCAAGTAAGGTTGGTGGTGCTAACTAAAGTTCAAACTGAGAGACCTAACCCTAACGTGAAAGAAGTTACAAGGTCATTCCCTTCACTCTAGCCACAAGGATTAAGGGTCAAGGAGAGATAGGTAGCAGGTGCTTCGATCAATTCAACTAAAAGCAATGTCTGCGGTGGTCGCATGTCTCCTATGTTGCCATTTCCTTTATTTAGAAAGTTCTAGTTGTTTAATCAAAGAAGCGCATGGCTTTATGGTATAGACATTTTCTAAACTCTACAAACATTTTCTTAAGGCAGTAAAATAGTTGTATTTGAATTTATTTTGCATTGTGACCTGAAGGTGTACTTTTATGAAGAAAAATATTGGTTTATGTTTTTCTTTGATTTATAATGCATTAAGCTGATTGTGTTGATTTTGTTGAGAATATTTTTTCAAAATTCTTCTTACCATCTTTGATTATATTGGAGATGGATCTTTAATCCCTCATCTAATTTTGTGTGTATATTTCTAACTTAGGGGGATTTTGACTTTGCTAAGTTGTTAAAAGCAAATGATTTGGCTTCCATGGTATGTGTAATAAGGTTTAAAATATCACATTGTTATCAATTATTTATACAATTTGCGTTAAACTAATTTACAAATGTATAGTCACCACATATGAAATTAACAGTGGCTATAATCTTTATTGCAGGTGGTAGGAACTCCTATGCTGCTTGAAGTTAGAATGCATTTTTCTTATCCAAAGTGTTGTATACACGAGATCGTCGCTCTTGTCTTCTTCTTTTTTTAACTTTTGTAAGATTTCTTTTGATTTTTTTTTTTTTACATTAAATAAGATATAGGTAGGATATAATCTTCACTGAATTCGTCTAATGCAGTACCAAATAGGTATTAATTTTAAAAAATGATATAGAAATAATAAAATACAATTGAGCAAGTAGATTTCCAAGTAATATTGTGCTCTATATTTTAGTTTCTTTACCACATGTATGTGCCAATGTTCTAAACTTAAGCATGTTTTGTAAATGGTTTTATTATTTTTTGTGTTGTAGAATAATACTACTCAAATATAGTTTCATAATATCTTTCTTGAACTTTGTTTATTGGAGTTGTCAGATGATGATGTTTGATTGTGAGGGAAATAAGTTTCATGTACATGGAGGTAAGTCACTATGTCATAGCATATATGTTGCTTTTAATAAACTTCTCTATATATACATGTGATATGTAGTCTAACTACAGTAAAATAAATTTTAAGTGTTTAAAACAATGAACCTCTAGTTGATTAATTTTTAGTTATTTTTTTAGTGTTTGTCTATTTTAGAAGGCATAATTTTGATCCACCATCAATATGATGATATAATCATTTATATATGGTCTCTTTGTGTATACAGACTGAATCAATATTTGGGCAGTGTAAACTATCATGATAGTGTAAAAAATTTAACCTAATAGTATAAAATAAATTAAAATGTATTTGAAAACATATATTACCTTTAGTGTTTATTATTAGTTCACTCCTAAAAATAACCTATTTTATGATGATTAAAAAAAGCTATAACAATGATTTTTGAACTGTCGTCATAGATTATCCATACGATAACAGTTATAACCGTTGTCATATGTTAAAAATCTTATTTTGCTTAATTGCAACAAACCTAGAAGCTTCGTCACTACATACCACAAACCTAGAAAGTATGTCACAATAAACAACAAGCTTAAACACTTCGTCACAACAAATTGATAAGTAATACAACAAATCTAGAAGTTCTGCCATGACAACTTTGCTCCATAATTGTTGCTCCTCGACCACGGAAACAAACTTCCATTACACAATTGTTGCTTTGCCGCAACAAACTTATAAGATTTCTCTACCTCTTCATTATTGTTCTTCTAACTCAATTCCAAAGTGTCCAGTAGAACATTTTCCTCAACCTCTGCCTCAGCAAAATGTTATTCTCTACCTCTGCCTCAACAAAACATTGTCTTTTACTGTTGTTCTCCCTTATGACAATTTTAGATGTGTTAGAGACATATATGGTAGAGACATTTACAGTATACGGTGGAAAGAAATATTTTGAGAAAGAAAGAAAGAAAGAGGGAGAAGAAGAGAAGAGTTTAATCATAATGAACAAAGAAAGAAGAGAAGAGTTGTAACAAAGGAGGAGAAGAGAAAAAAAGAAGAGAAAAAGAAAAGAGAAGTGGAAACACAAAGATAAAATGATTAAAATGGGGGAAGTTGAAAATTTTAACGAAACATATAATGACAGTTATAAAAGATTCATCGTTAAAAGGTTAGACATACGATGATGATTATAAATGTAACCATCATTTTATATATTGGTGTTTGACACATATAACGATGTTTCTTTTATAACTGTTATCGTATGTCACATATCACAATGATTATAAATAAACTGCTGTTAAAAAATTAAAAAATAATGTCAAAATTATCTCTGCGTCTTTTTTAATAATGGTTCACATATAACCATCATTAAAGGACCCCATCTTAAACTTAGATCCTTGATTAGTATTTTTGAATACACAAGTGATTTTCTTTTTCCTTCACATAATAAGATCAACATTAATGATATTGTTGTTTGTTTTACTGTATACTAAAAGCTATCCAAGGATAATTAACCTTATTTATCCATCCTACCTTTAAATTGATAATCCTCGTCTGTGGGGTTAGTTGGTGGGAGACAATTCTCATTTTTACAAACTTAACTTATACTTGAATAAAATGGTTTTCATAGACTTCTTGAGACTAAATTTATATTTGTAGTTAGTTATAATATCTTGGTTAGATTTAGAACCCTTAGACAAATATGGTTTTCATAGACTCTATTTATACTTGAACAAATTTGATTTTCATAGACTTTTCTAAGATAGTTTTTATGTTTTTATAGGTTAAAATTTATCGTATTTAAGAAGAGAATGGTAGCAAAATATTTTGTTATGTTTTAATATTATCTTTGTTTATGAAAGCTTAAGAATATTGCACTAGTTTTCTTTTTTATGAATTGTGTTACTCATTGCACAATTATACTTTTAGATTTGGGTAACTCTTTTGTTCCATGAATATATAATATTATTGAAATTATGCTATCATGTTTTCATTACAATAAAATTTATAATTTCACTTGATATTTTAATAATAATGATCATTGATTTGAAACCAAAGTATAACATGTTTAGCCCTCCAATAAATAAGTATAATGAAATTGAGATAGAGATGATGAAAAATAATCTCAATATATTTTGTACAATAACAATAATGGCCTAAACACAAGGCAACAATTAAAGAATTATGCCTAAAAAGCAATTACAACCTTTAATTAAATATTACCTAAACAAAATATAGCATTAAAACGCATTGCCTAACAAAAGGCAACACTTAAATAAGTGTAGCTTAAATGTAGTACAATATTAGTTAAAAAACTATATAGCAACATTTAAAAAAGTATTGTTTAGGAAAAACTAACAAATAAAAAACAATGGTTTAAATGCAAAGACATTAATTAAATAACTATGACCTAATAAAGAGGCAAGAACTAAAATGTGTTGGCTAAGAATGACAAACAAAATTGTTGCATAAGGCAACAATTTTAAACAAAAATGTGGTTTTAGGAAAAAAACGGTTGCCAACGCCCATGAAGAGCGTTGTCAAACTATTGCTTAAAGCTTAACTCACAATTATTCCACTTCAGAGAAAATTGATTCGGTTGTTGTCTAAAGAAAAAAATGGTGTAGTAAATTCTTCATTTCACTTTGTGTGTGATCTCTTGATTCAATTGCTTCTCACGTATTATGAATTGAATTGGAATTATAACACTTAGCCACTCCAATTTGTGCACCAGTCACAAATTCAAGATCAATGTAATTAACATTACCTCATCATTGTCATCAAATTAAATGAATAACATGAACCTGACCATGTTCATGATAGCTCAAGAGCAAAAGAATGCACCATTTGGACATTTCAATTTTGCAACTCACGTTTAAATTTTTCTTGAAGAATAGAAGGCACCAAACAAATCATGTTTCAATTGCTCATCTTTTTTATTCATTTCAACGAATCAAGTCGATGCACGAAAAAAAAATTGAAAACACATAAAATATCTAATGCAAAATTCATATGAATTACTTAAAAAATCATAGGAAATTATTTCTATCAAAATACTATTTTCACCACAATTGTCATGAAAAAATTTGAAACTTGTTTTGACAAATTTTGGAATATATTGGAAAAATATTATGAAATTTTCAAAATTCAACTCTGATAACTAAATGATAAAAATTTTAGATTATGATTGTGGATGTTTCAAACAATTTCCACATAACAATTAAAGGAAATAAAAAATTGCAGACAAAGATAAAAAAAATAAAGAGTCACAATTTTTATTAATAAGTTGAATACACCACAATCTAGATAGGAGAGGAAGATTAACCACTTTGAATATAGATTTTAAAAATAACAATCAAAAGTTCTTCAAAAGAACTTAGGAGGAATTTTTCTCACATAGTTAAACCTAAATTTTCTCAAAATCTATACTAGGAGTAAAAATGTTTACAAAAGGTATACTGTGAACCTAAGACTCTAGGCCACTCACTAATTAGGCCCATCGAATGAGACATAAGCCATCTAAAAATCTAATACGTACTAATGTTTATAAACTATCTAGTTACAAAATTATAAAAACAAATACAAGAATACAAGGTCGAATAAATGTCGAATATAAGAAAGTACAAAAATGTTATTATTAAAAGTCTAAAAGTCTAAATCTATTCTAGATCCCTTCATACATTCATCAATTCGCCTCTTAAGCTTGAAGTTATACTACTAATGAAGAGCCTATTATGGAAAAGAAAATTTCCATTTATTTGGTCGAGTCGTACTCGACTCATCATACACTAGTCCCTTAAGGGCTAAAAAGACAACAATGATGAAGAGTCTAGTCATGGGGAAACAACTAGGATGATAGTTATTATCATTATAGTTGGATGTCCAAAGGATTTGAAAGGTCTGAGTTATCAACATTGGATCAAAATATTTTGAAGATCCATTAAGCCACCAATAGTTGGCATGGTAATGTAGGGCATCTATAAATGTCAAATGGGGTCGCTACACTTTCTTAATATTCTTCCTAATAATATCTCAATCATCTTTCTTCATAAAGAATTCTAGAAATTATTAGAGTTTTATTTAGTATGTAAGATGACTACAAAATGTTTCTTGAGGGATTGATGTTGTTTGATTTCAAAGATAAAAGGATGTGTTATAAGTCTAATAATAGTATAGATTCTGATGATGATTTTATAAAGGTAACTTTGTTTGACAATGATCTTGACAGTGATGAGAATAGAAAATTAATTAAAGGAGTGGCAAAGATTAATATGCCATTGCGAATTAGTTATGAGTGGACGAAATTGGGTGTGAGGAGTATTTTTTTAAAGTATCGATGGTCATTTGTTGTGTTTGCAAAGAGCAAGTGTATATGTGATGGTTAAATTTAGATCATAATTTTTTAGTTTAGTTTGGACTATTTTTTATGTTTTTTAAGTCAATCCTTCATACAATCCTGGTATGGTAGCCTTAACAATGGGTACTTCCCATCAAATATGACATAAATAATAGTCCAAATGTTATAATTTGATTGTGACTTATCTAACTTTTATCAAGAGACAATTAATGAATATTCTAACAATCTTCTTCTTAATAATTTTTTCATTAAGAATCAAATTCATGACATTGGATCTGCTATCAATTATTAGATATAATGCTTAACTCTAGGTCATAATTTATTTGAGGTTTAACTTAAATATGTTTGTCTTTTTTATGCATATATAATGATGATGACCAATCCCAATGATATAAACCCTTTCAAGAAACTAAAAATAAGTTGTGTGACAAAAATATACAAGGAGAACAAGGTGGTCAAAGAGAAATTCTAGCATGCATGCTCTAATTTAAGTATAGTTACATTTTCTTGAGGTTGAGTATAAGAAGAATCACAAGAGAAAGGATAAAAAGTGAAAGATACATAATAGTGAAAAGTCACTAGTTAGGCAATCACCCAAAAGGTTGCATCAACAAACCATGAATTTTGTGATGGGTTATGACACTTGTACTAGCTCAAATTGGGATTCTCAGTTGGATCTCCATATGGCTCGCAAAAATTTTGCAGACAAGTTTGATACACTTCTATTAACCCGAATAATTTTTTCAATGCCTTTATAAAATTACAGTTGAGTGCATTGTTACGTGGGAAATGCATTGAGTTGGAATTGTTGAAAGGTAGAACCTTATCCAAAAGAGGCATGGATTTTCCATACTTTCGTAGTTATTTACTAGATGCTCTCGATAGAAACACTTATTTGAGAAGTTAAGTGAAGGTATTTGAAGATATGTATGGAAAAATATTGTGGATATCTCATATTGGAAGACTTGGTATCTCCTAACTGAAGAAAAAGAGAAGAAGCTACAAAAGGATTTGTCTTGTTTAGAATAATACTTGATTGATAAAACTTCTAAGATTGAAGACTTCTAAGATTAAACAATTTGTGAAGAGTCAAAATACGAGGACTTTCAAAAGACACGTAGCAAAGTTGCATGCTTTTATAATGTACTGTTAGAAATGTAGGCTGAGATCAAGAGGAGGGGGTGGATTGATCTTTTGAAAGTTTTTCGCACTTTATGGAATATATATATATATATATATATATATATATATATATATATATATATATATATATATATTATCTATTTCAAAGATTAAGAATTCGATCAAATATTGATCCAAGAAACACAAGCGAATTGTATAAGCGGAATTAAAGAATATATAGAGATAGAGAAAGAAACACAGGAATTATACTGGTTCACCCAAACCACAGGGCTACATCTAATTCTCAACCAAATTCCAGTTGAGTTCCACTAGATTGATTATGTTTTTTATTACAGACCTGAATCACAAAACACCCAACCTGTACCAAGAACCAATTTCCAGTTCTTGAATTAAATCTTCACCAAGAACCAAGTTCCAGTCCTTGAACCAACCTGCAACCAAATTCCAGCTACAGAACTAGTTTCCAAATCTTCTAGACACCTACACAATACAGATATGAATTAATGAAAATAAAGAGAAGAAACTAAAACAACCAAACCCAGTTATGCAGATACAATTCTTCCTCTGAAGAATGAGTTTCTTCACATGCAAGAATGCAAAAATACCTCAAGAAAGAAATTTGAAAAACTTCATAGAAACTAGCGCACTTCTTCCTTGAAAAGATCTCTATTGATTGCTTGATTGATATCTCAAAGGTGTGTTTTAAAACCTTGAAGCAAATTTGTGTTATATAGAGACTTTTTCTAATAAATTGGTTTAATTAATCGGTTAAAACTTCTTTTAGTCGATTAAAACTTTTTTTAATCGGTTAAAACTTCTTTTAATCAGTTAAAATGTGCTTGACCATTTTTCAAATTTATTTTAACTAATGCAAACATGATTTAATCGATTAAAACAATTATACAAAAATTCTCTAAGTTATTTTAATCGATTGATTCGCGGTTTAATCGATTATAATACTGCCATATAAATTCTTAAAACACCACAAGTGAGTTTAACTGATAAAAGCATGATTTAATCGATTAAAACATTTAACAAAAATTTCTCTAAGTTGATTTCATCGATTAATTTGATGTTACATCGATTAAAATTCTGGCAAACCACTTTTCAAAATATCTCAAGTGATTTTAATCGATTAATTCGAAGTTACATTGATTAAAATACTGACAGAACACTTTTCAAAACATCTCAAGTGATTTTAATCGATTAATTTGAAGTTATATAAGTTAAAATACTGACAGAAAGTTTTCAAATACATCACTAATGAAAATAATCGATTAATTTGAATGTACATCGATTAAAATACTGACAAAACACTTTTCAAAACTTCTCAAGTGATTTTAATCGATTAATTCGAAGTTACATCAATTAAAACTCTGTCAGGAATGTTTCTAGTTGATTTAATCGATTAATCTTAAAGTGTATCAGTTAATTTCAAGTCTTAAGAACATATTAATCGATTAAACTGATTTTTAACAGATTAAAACGTTTAGAGACATTTTAAATTCTTACAAATGATGAAACCTCATGCAACAGAGAAGAATGAATGAATATACCTATTAATATTGATGCAAACTCACTAATCAATACACCCTTTAACCCAAAGAACCTTTGATTTCATCAAATCTTCAAGATCTTTTAATCTCTTCATAAGGTTCAATTAGATCTTCATCACTATCAGTCTCCCCCTATTTGATGAAGACAAACACCTCTTTTGGATTATTTTGAAAGATCATGATCTGCAAAAGAAATCACTTGGCTATACTTTGTATTAGTGAGATTTCAATATTAATTTCTCCTCCTTTGACTTCATCAAAAATAGGGAAAGAAAAGATGAAAATCCACACAATATCAGAAAATCCAAACCAGTTAGTGAAATTAATTGAAGTAAATCATGTTTAACATAAATGATAGAAGTGCAGTACAAAAATCAAGAACTTTTAATCGATTAATTCGTAAAATAATCGATTAAAACAATACGAATAGTGTATATGAAATTCTCGTTAATGAATTTAATTGATTAAAATAATTTTATATCAATTAAAATAATAAGAGTATGTGAATTATGTAATGTTTGATGCATCTAGAATTCTTAATTCAGTTCTAATTTTATAAAAGCGATCATGAGCAAGAGGTTTTGTGAATATGTCTGTGAATTATTTTTCAAATTCTATGAAAAAGATTTCACAATCACCTTTTGAAACATGATCTCTAATGAAATGATATCTAATCTCAATATGTTTTGTTCTAAAATGCTGAATTAGATTCTTTGTTAATATGATGACATTAGTATTATCACATAGAAGAGGAATTTTACTAAGAATTAAACCATAGTCTTCAAGCTGTTGTTTGAGCCATAAAGATTGAGCACAACAGCTTCGAGCATTAATGAACTCGACCTAAGCTGTAGAAAGTGCAACACATGATTGCTTTTTGCTATGCCATGAAATTAGACTGCTTCCAAAGAGATGACAGGTGTCACTAGGGCTTTTTCTATCAAGCTTACACCCTAGAAAGTCTGAGTTAGAATAACCAATTAGATTTAGTTTAGACTCACTAGGATACCACAACTCAACATTCAATGTTCCTTTGAGATATTTGAGAATCCTCTTTGCAGCAGTGAAATGAGATTCTTTTGGTGCAAACTGAAACCTGACACACATACAAACACTAAACATAATGTCAGTTCTACTTGTCGTAAGGTATAATAAAGACCCAATAAGCCCTCTAAATTTTGTTTGATCTATTGGCTTCCCTTTTTCATCTGCATCAAGATAGTAATTAGTTGACATTAGTGTGGATGCCTCTTTCAGTGCTCCATTTCAAATTTCTTTAAGAGATCTGTGCAATATTTTGCTTGATGAAGAAAGCACCCTCCCTGAAGTTGTTTGACTTGTAACCCAAGGAAGTAATTAAGCTCCCCCATCATGGACATTTCAAATTCACCTTGCATATCTTTAATAAAATCTTTACACAAAAATTCATCAGTGGCTCCAAATATAATATCATCAACATATACTTGAACAAGTATGGTATCATTATTAATTTTCTTAAGAAATAATGTTTTATAAACAATACCTCTTTGATAGCTTTTTTATAAGAGAAAATTGTTTAACCTTTCATACCATTCCCTTGGGGCTTGCTTTAGACCATACAGTGCTTTCTTTAGTTTGTAGACAAACTCTAGATGAACATGATCTTCAAATCTAGGGGGCTGAGCAATAAAGACTTCTTCATTCAGATAGCCATTTAAGAAGGCACTTTTGACATCCATTTGGTATAACCTGAAATTCTTCATTGAGGCGTAAACAAGTAAAAGCCTAACAACTTTTAATCTAGCAACAGGAGCATATGTTTCATCAAAATCAATTCCTTCTTGTTGATTATATCCTTTAGCAACTAATCTTGCTTTGTTTCTTGTAATAATACCATTTTCATCCAATTTATTTCCAAAAACCCATTTAGTTCCAACAATATTTGCATCAATTGGCTTTGGAATTAATTCCCATACATTATTCCTTGTGAATTGGTTTAATTCTTCATGCATTGCATTAATTCAGTTGTTATCCTTTAATGCATCAGATATGGATTTTAGTTCAATTTGAGATACAAATTTCATATGATTACAAAATTTATTTAAAGATCTTCTGGTAGAAACTCCCTGATTTATTTCTCCAATGATGTTATCTATTGAAAGCTCTCAATACCAAATGATATATAATAAAGTAAGGTGTAAAATTTTAAGAAGATAAGATGCAAAATTTTAAGCAATAAAGTAAGCAAACCCAAAGAAAATTTTCACTGGACAATAAGATAGTTGTCTATCTAGATGTGAAGGTGCATTTCCTTGGATTAGGAAAGGGTGAAAGTAAGAAAAAGCAAGAA